TCATGTGTCCAGTGTTGGGATTTGAGATAGATCTGAACTAAGGCAATGTTTACGTTAAAATGATATTAATAATAATGCATCAGTTTTATACAGCACTTTTCTGGACTCTCAAAGACGCTTCACATGTCATAATTCTTTCACTCCATACCAGTGGGGGAGGGTCCCAGCTCAAAAGTGGCCAAAATGACGTGCGCTGACATGCTTGCAATACCACCCCGGGCCGATGGGGGTGGACCCTGAAGTAGAATTAGCCAATGCTAACATATAGCGTTGGCAGACCTCTGAAAAACGTCTTTACAGGATGGACCAAAAGTTGGCTCTTGGCCCAAAGCTCCGTTCCACATGTGTGTCAATGCTGAGGGGGGTGGATTTTTTTGGTTCACTCTAGTTTACTTGCTGTGAATTTTTTTAATCTCTCGTTCAAATGAATGGAGCTGCTCAGGCTGACGCATGCGCAGATGCGTTTTTTCACAATTTTCTTGTGGGCGGGACCACTCGCGGCCATTTTGGATTGCTCCAGTAGAGCACATTTTTTGGCCCATTAGTTAGAACGGCGGAGATAGGCGTGACTCTGTCCATTATTATATACAGTCTATGCTCCATACACATTGGTGATGACTACTACTGTAGCCACAGCTGCCCTGGGGCACACTGACAGAAGCAAGGCAATTAGTCCGTGCCATTGGCCCCTCCCACCACCGCCTACAGTCACCCACATTCTAATGTGAAGTGAAGTGTCTTGCTTAAGGTCACAACCACAGGTTGTAGTTGTGACTACGTGGCCCCACGGTACAGTGTCGGTCCTGTTTGTTTTCCTCGCAATGCCATGAACTGTACTGACCTGAGGCGTGGTAGTTAATCTCGTCGAATTGGCTTGCATGCTGTCGTTTTTACCCACTGCATTGCTCTTCAGGCTGTTTTTTTTTTTCACCATCTGCATTGGCCTTCAGGCTGTCTGTTTTTCACCATGGACTGTACATTGTACCCATTGTATTGGCCTTCTGGCTGTTTTACCATGGACTGAAAATTTTACCCACTGTATTGGCCTTGTGGCTGTCAGTTGTTACCGTCCATCCATCCATCCATTTTCTTCCCCTTCATCCGTTGCCGGGTCGCGGGGGCAGCAGTCTAAGCAGAGACGCCCAGACTTCCCTATCCACACACACCTCCTCCAGCTCGTCCGGGGGGACCCCAAGGCGTTCCCAGGCCAGCTGAGAGACATAGTCCCTCCAGCGTGTCCTGGGTCTTCCCCGGGGCCTCCTCCCGGTGGGACGTGTCCGGAACACCTCCCCAGGGAGGCGTCCAGGAGGCATCCGGAACAGATGCCCGAGCCACCTCAACTGGTTCCTCTCGACGTGGAGTAGCAGCGGCTCTACTCCGAGCTCCTCACCCTATCTCTAAGGGAGCGCCCAGCCACTCTGCGGAGGAAGCTCATTTTGACCGCTTGTATCCGCGATCTTGTTCTTTCGGTCATTACCCAAAACTCATGACCATAGGTGAGGGAAGGAACGAAGATTGACTGGTAAATCGAGAGTTTTGCCTTTCGGCTCAGCTCCCTCTTTACCACAACGGTCCGATACAGCGACCGCATCACTACGTACGCTGCACCGATCCGCCTGTCAATCTCGCGCTCTATCCTTACCTCACTCGTGAACAAGACCCCGAGATACTTGAACTCCTCGACTTGAGGAAGGACCTCTCCACCCACCCGGAGAGGGCAAGGCACCCTTTTCCGGTCGAGCACCATGGCCTCAGATTTGGAGGTGCTGATTCTCATTCCAGCGGCTTCACACTCGGCTGCAATCCGTCCCAGCGCATGTTGCAGGTCCTGGTTCGTTGGAGCCAACAGGACAACATCGTCCGCAAACAGCAGAGATGAAATCCTCTGGTCGCCAAACCGGACCCCCTCCGGCCCCTGGCTGGGCCTAGAAATTCTGTCCATGAATACAGTGAACAGAACCGTTGACAAAGGGCAGCCCTGGCGGGATCAGGTCCGACTTACTGCCGGCAATGCGAACACAGCTCTGACTCCGGTCATACAGGGATCGAACGGCCCTCAATAGAGGACCCCGGACCCCATACTCCCGGAGAACCCCCCAAAGGACACCCCGGGGAACATGGTCGAACGCCTTCTCCAAATCCACAAAGCACATGTGGACAGGTTGGGCGAACTCCCATGAATCCTCGAGTATCTGATGGAGAGTATAGAGCTGGTCCAGTGTTCCGCGACCGGGACGAAAACCACACTGCGCCTCCTGAATCCGAGATTCAACCATCGACCGTAGCCTCCTCTCCAGTACCTTGGAGTAGACCTTACCGGGAGGCTGAGGAGTGTGATCCCGCGATAATTGGAACACACCCTCCGATCCCCCTTCTTATAGAGAGGGACCACCACCCCGGTCTGCCACTCCATTGGCACAGCCCCCGATCGCCACGCGATGTTGCAGAGACGTGTCAGCCAAGACAGTCTCGGATCTCATCCACTCCCGGCGCCTTGCCACCATGGAGGCTGCCAACCACCTTGGTGACCTCAGCCAGGGAGATGGAAGTATCTGCCCCAACATCCTCAGCCTCTGCCTCCTGGACGGAGGACGTGACGGGGAGATTGAGGAAAACCTCGAAGTATTCCTTCCACCGCCCGACAATATCCCCAGTCGAGGTCAGCAGCTCTCCACCCGCACCATACGGGTGGAGAGCGGTTTGCCAGAACCTCTTCAAGGTCGACCGATAGTCATGCTCCATGGACTCTCCGAACTCCTTCCAGTCCCGGGTTTTTGCCTCTGCAACAGCCCGGGCCGCGGCACGCTTGGCCTGCCGGTACTGGACAGCTGCCTCAGGAGTCCCACGAACCATCATTGCTCGTGGGACTCCTGAGGCAGCCTCCTCCCCGGCCAGCGGATCCAAACACGATACATGCATCCTCTATGCAGTCTGCTTTACTTTCCTGGGGATCAGGCGCTCTTGGGAGAGGCTGCCTGCCCAGGTTGGTTCTAAATTATCTTTCCTGCTTTGCAGATTGAGGAATGCGCAGGCACTCTTGGGAGAGGTGGCCCTGCATCCCTTTCTCTATGGCTCGTAGGACCTCCATCTCTACCGCTTGGTATGAGCATGTGGGGGTCGAGTTTGCTCCAATCACCGGAGTTCATGCCTGCTGGGAGTACATCGGTCTGGGCTTTCCTATGTTATGCAATAGCGAAGCCTAAAGGGCTGAAGCAACATATGAAATAGAAACCCCAGTTACCCCATGTGACTAAGGTTCTACGAATATGTTGCGAAGCTTTGAGCCCAGCAGGCCTGCCCTCTCTTCTTCGGCTGAGTTCAAAAGGAGAAGAGCTGTGGCGCATGGCCCTATTTATAGGGGACTGACCTATGCCAGGACGTCAAGGTGATTGGAGCGGTGGATCGTTTGATCTTCTCAGGGCGGGAAGCAGTGCTTCCGAGAGATATGCAACATATTCATAGAACCTTAGTTACATTAGGTAACTGGGGTTTACAGACAGAGGAAGTAGCCACTTTTTGCTATTATGCTGCTGTGTTTACCACCGAAGCTGTAGAGGCTAGAGGACACAGGCTATTTGTGCCTCGTTCTGTGAGTGGAAGAGAACGAGCGTCCCACCAAGGCCCCGACTCCACCGGACTACGTATCCGTCCAAATGTGTCCGTTTCATCCACGTTTCTGTTTTCTCCATGAGGGTGAATGGAAGTGGCTCCACTGCCTGCAATATACGTCCGTCCGACGCGCGTAGGGAGTAGTTGTCCACGGAGGGTGCAACGGTCGTGGACGGACGAAAAAGAAACAATCCTATACTTTTTATGTCCGTCGACGCGTGTCGGGTCCGTTTTCCATTGAAAATACAATGGAATAATATATTTACCACATTATTAAACATGTATTGAAATATTGCTGTAGTCCTTGGTTATAAGTGTTTGTTAATGACAATGATTATTAACAAATGTGTGTAATTTTTTTTCATGTATTAAATTGAAATAATTGTTTCCTGATTGTAAATCTACCATTTATTTTTCGCGTAATGTTAATACGCTAAACTTTACATACACCTCGCTCTTTTTGTTCTCACTCGTCCCCGTCTACCTCCAAGGCGCTCTCTCCTCACCGCCGCACACTCCCACCCACCCACCCACACACAACCACCCACCCACACACACATTACCCACCCACCCACACACACAATACCCACAGAGCTACTGCACTGGATACGTTGGAGTTCTTTTCTCTCTCCCCTTTTTCCAATTGCTTTCAATAAGTTTTGCCTCATCCATCGCGACGTCCTTGATGCTTCAATATGCCATGCTTTGCATAGATCATAGCCACAGCTCATGCACATCACACACCGCTTCTTCTATTTAAAACAAAGCCTGCTGCAGCCGGTTTAGCCACTATTCCGTTTTACGGACGTCTGACGTAAACGGAGACGCGCCCGGTGGAGTCCTGGCCTACGTCTCTACTCAGCACTTTTTATGGCCTGAATTCATACACAAGCTGAATCAATGAGCTCAAGTTTTCAATTAAATTACGGATTTTAAAACAACTTTTATGTAGTAAAACGCATTGTTATGAACTCTTCAGAAAATAAATAGGGTATAGCTTCTTTAAAGCTTGAATCCAGTCAACCTCAGGTGAACAATTCTGCTGTGGACGACTGAACAGGCCTGGTCCAAGTTTGGACACACAGTTTAGACTTTCAAGAACTTCTATTTGTGTTCAAATCCCAAGAGCTCTTTGACCTTAGACCTGTTCTGTGTGTGTGTGTGTTTTTCTGTGTACGCAAACCCAGTCATCATTAATCCCTTGATGCGTTGATGCAACTTTCGCTGGGATGTAAAGAAGACATAAACCTCCTACTCCTCGGCTTTTGGCTTCGGTGGTTGGGGGAGAGAGAGAGTGTGTGTGTGTGAGAGAGAGTGTGAGAGACAGAGACAGGAGCTAAGAGGCTCCACTCCCAAACCTCACCTCCACCACAGCATTTGAAGCGAACGCAATGATTCCTCACACAAACATCACAACCATCACGATCGATGGTTATGTGGAAGTGGAAAAGTACAGATTTGTGTATTTCTTCTCCATGTTTCTGGTCTATGTTGTGATCCTGTGCAGTAACGGCACCATCGTGTTTCTGATCTGGAAGCATCCAAACCTCCACGAGCCCATGTACTACTTCATTGCTGCTCTGCTCTGTAACTCAATCCTCTTCAGCAGCGTCCTCTACCCCAAGATGATGGTGGACGTGCTGTCTGAGAAGCAGGAGGTGACCATCTCCGCCTGCATGCTACAATGCTTTCTCTACTACTCTCTAAACCTCTCAGAGATCATGCTGCTGTCAGTGATGGCGTATGACCGCTACGTGTCCATCCTCAAACCCCTGCGATACACCACCATCATGCAGGACCGCACTGTTCGAGGGTTCTTGGTGCTGGCTTGGGCCCTGCCTGGCGTCCAGACCGCTGTCCCAAACATAGTCGCCATCAGAGCCAAGTTGTGCAACGTGAACTTCAAGGGAATTTACTGCAACAATCTGATTTACAAGATGCACTGCTCGCCGTCCAGACCCATGTATGTTGTGTACGGAATGATAGTGTTGATCAACCTGGCCATCCTGCCCGTGCTGTTCATCGTCTTCACGTACGCCAAGATCTTCGTGATCACGTATCGCAGCAGTGCAGAGGTGCGGAGGAAGGCGGCCGAGACTTGCCTGCCGCATCTGTTTGTGCTGATAAACTTCTCCTGTTTGGTTACGTATGACGTGGTGACGGTGAAGATGGAGTTTGACGTGCCCAAGACCGTGAGGCTCATCATGATGCTGCAGGTTGTGTTGTATCATCCACTGGTCAATCCGTTAATATACGGGCTCAAGATGAAGGAAATTAACAAACACCTGAAGAAAATGTTTACAAAGAGAAACAGGAAAATGTTGGTCTGAGAGTTAGGCTAGAATATAGAGATCAAAGAGGGTTCTCACTTATTTCCCAGGAATGATGCAGGAGGGTCTAAGGACAGGGAAGATCCAGGAAATTACAATAATGTCCAAATTATTATTTGTGCTTGAACTGTTTGATTTTCTTATCTGTTGTTGGTGAATCCACAGCTTTGTAAAGTCCTCCAAAACGACTGATTTGAAATTAAGAAAGGACACTCACTGCAAAAAGTGATAAATTATGAGGTATTAATTGCTTGAATTGAGGTTTTTTTTTTATCTTAATCTGTTTGTGTTAAAACAAGATTCTCCAATGGGACGTAGCTATTTAGTCTCATTTATAAATAAGTCTTATATATAAATATTACGTACTTACTTATTGCTTATGTCAAGAACTGTTGCTTTTTTTTCTCATTCAGGGAGACACTTCTTGTATCTTTTTGCTTTGACCCATTGGCAAATCTTGCTTTAAGGAAATCTGAATGTGCTCAAATGAAGGTACATTTTGCCAAATTTGAGACCTTTTTTACTAATTTGTCAGACTCGACGGATCAAACATACATATTTTGGGGTTTTGTTAAAGCAGAGGTTCCTACGTTATTGTTTCATGAATTATCCACGCCGTTTGTTTCAACAGAAAGAGTCTTATGAAAGTAAACTGATATATTTTGTGTACTATATTTTGTGAGCCCCATGAGTCGCTGTTTAGTCTGAGAGCTGAGTGAAGGTTTGCTTTTCTTTCTGATAAAATCTGATCTGAAGACGTGACAGAGGCCAGACGCATGAAACCGGTTTAAAGTCAGAAGCTGGGATTGGGATGCAACCGGATGTTTTCAGTTATAAGAATAATTATATAAGAACAAGATGATCTAATAATATCTATGTCTTTATTTATTGTTGTCTTTAATAGAGAATGTGTATATCGTCTCAAAGATTTAAATTGGTAAATTGTAGTTGTCTGAAAAAGCTAAAGGTACAGATGTGACAGAGACCAAACATCGATCCAGGAGGAAACTATTGACTGATGGTTTATTACTTATTTTCATTCTTTGAGGTTTGAAGATAAGATACAACTTCATTGATCTCACAATAGAGATATGTACATGTCACATTTGGCACATTTGAAAGTTAGGAACCACAGCTTTAACTATGAGAGTAGAATCTATACCCTAACCCTGTCCACAGAATTAAAGGCTTTTCCTTCTTTATTAACTACACATTCATTCCGCATTCCGTAATAGCTCAGTTGGTAGAGCATTGGCCTTAAGGCCAGAAGGTCGTGGTTCATTTCCCACCTCTACACCTTCTCCACCGACTCCCACTGATGACTGCTGTTGTTGTGTCCTTGGGCAAGACACTTAACCCCACTTTGCCCAAAGCCCCCACTGAAAGATCAAGGCTATGCTCACACTCAGAGAGCAGCCGTCCTCCTGTGGACTCACCACCTGCAGAGGGTCAGTGAGGGGCTGGTGCTATGAGACTTGGGTGGCATCTCTGATTGCCACCCCCCTGACCCAGAAATGGATTAAAGGGTAGAAAATGGATGGATGGATCGACATTCATTCCGCACTTAATCTAAAACAAAAGTCACTAACATCATGTTTGGGGCAAACACATTTAACATCATTCCTGCATTTTCCCTTTTGTGCAATATATACAAGAAGCTAGAATATATGTTATGTATGTATGAATAAATATATGTATAAATAAAGATATGTAAAACTGTTGATCATGTGTCCAGTGTTGGGATTTGAGATAGATCTGAACTAAGGCAATGTTTACGTTAAAATTATATTAATAATAATGCATCAGTTTTATACAGCACTTTTCTGGACTCTCAAAGACGCTTCACATGTCATAATTCTTTCACTCCATACCAGTGGGGGAGGGTCCCAGCTCAAAAGTGGCCAAAATGACATGCGCTGACATGCTTGCAATACCACCCCGGGCCGATGGGGGTGGACCCAGAAGTAGAATTAGCCAATGCTAACATATAGCGTTGGCAGACCTCTCAAAAACGTCTTTACAGGATGGACCAAAAGTTGGCTCTTGGCCCAAAGCTCCGTTCCACATGTGTGTCAATGCTGAGGGGGGTGGATTTTTTTGGTCCACTCTAGTTTACTTGCTGTGAATTTTTTTAATCTCTCGTTCAAATGAATGGAGATGCGCCGGCTGATGCATGCGTAGATGCGTTTTTTCACAATTTTCTTGTGGGCGGGACCACTCGCGGCCATTTTGGATTGCTCCAGTAGAGCACATTTTTTGGCTCATTAGTTAGAACGGCGGAGATAGGCGTGACTCTGTCCATTATTATATACAGTCTATGCTCCATACACATTGGTGATGACTACTGCTGTAGCCACAGCTGCCCTGGGGCACACTGACAGAAGCAAGGCAATTAGTCCGTGCCATTGGCCCCTCCCACCACCGCCTACAGTCACCCACATTCTAATGTGAAGTGAAGTGTCTTGCTTAAGGTCACAACCACAGGTTGTTGTTGTGACTACGTGGCTCCACGGTACAGTGTCGGTCCTGTTTGTTTTCCTCGCACTGCCATGAACTGTACTGACCTGAGGCGTGGTAGTTAATCTCGTCGAATTGGCTTGCATGCTGTCGTGTTTACCCACTGCATTGCTCTTCAGGCTGTTTTTTTTTTTTTCACCATCTGCATTGGCCTTCAGGCTGTCTGTTTTTCACCATGGACTGTAAATTGTACCCATTGTATTGGCCTTCTGGCTGTTTTACCATGGACTGAAAATTTTACCCACTGTATTGGCCTTCTGGCTGTCAGTTGTTACCGTCCATCCATCCATCCATTTTCTTCCCCTTCATCCGTTGCCGGGTCGCGGGGGCAGCAGTCTAAGCAGGTGCCCCCAGACTTCCCTATCCACACACACCTCCTCCAGCTCGTCCGGGGGGACCCCAAGGCGTTCCCAGGCTAGCTGAGAGACATAGTCCCTCCAGCGTGTCCTGGGTCTTCCCCGGGGCCTCCTCCCGGTGGGACGTGTCCGGAACACCTCCCCAGGGAGGCGTCCAGGAGGCATCCGGAACAGATTCCCGAGCCACCTCAACTGGTTCCTCTCGACATGGAGTAGCAGCGGCTCTACTCCGAGCTCCTCCCGTGTGACTGAGCTCCTCACCCTATCTCTAAGGGAGCGCCCAGCCACTCTGCGGAGGAAGCTCATTTTGACCGCTTGTATCCGCGATCTTGTTCTTTCGGTCATTACCCAAAGCTCATGTCCATAGGTGAGGGAAGGAACGAAGATTGACCGGTAAATCGAGAGCTTTGCCTTTCGGCTCAGCTCCCTCTTTACCACAACGGTCCGATACAGCGACGGCATCACTGCGCACGCTGCACCGATCCGCCTGTCAATCTCGCGCTCTATCCTTACCTCACTCGTGAACAAGACCCCGAGATACTTGAACTCCTCCACTTGAGGAAGGACCTCTCCACCCAACCGGAGAGGGCAAGGCACCCTTTTCCGGTCGAGCACCATGGCCTCAGACTTGGAGGTGCTGATTCTCATCCCAGCGGCTTCACACTCGGCTGCAATCCGTCCCAGCGCATGTTGCAGGTCCTGGTTCGTTGGAGCCAACAGGACAACATCGTCCGCAAACAGCAGAGATGAAATCATGTGGTCGCCAAACCGGACCCCTCCGGCCCCTGGCTGCTCCTAGAAATTCTGTCCATGAATACAGTGAACAGAACCGGTGACAAAGGGCAGCCTTGGCGGGATCAGGTCCGACTTACTGCCGGCAATGCGAACACAGCTCTGACTCCGGTCATACAGGGATCGAACGGCCCTCAATAGAGGACCCCGGACCCCATACTCCCGGATAACCCCCCAAAGGACACCCCGGGGAACATGGTCGAACGCCTTCTCCAAATCCATAAAGCACATGTGGACAGGTTGGGCGAACTCCCATGAATCCTCGAGTATCTGATGGAGAGTATAGAGCTGGTCCAGTGTTCCACTGCCGGGACGAAAACCACACTGCTCCTCCTGAATCCGAGATTCGACCAACGGCCGTAGCCTCCTCTCCAGTACCTTGGAGTAGACCTTACCGGGGAGGATGAGGAGTGTGATCCCAAGATAATTGGAACACACCCTCCGGTCCCCCTTCTTGTAGAGAGGGACCACCACCCCGGTCTGCCATTCCATTGGCACCGCCCCCGATTGCCACGCGATGTTGCAGAGACGTGTCAGCCAAGACAGTCCCACAACATCCAGAGACTTTAAATAGTCAGGACGAATCTCATCCACTCCCGGCGCCTTGCCACCATGGAGGCTGCCAACCACCTTGGTGACCTCTGCCAGGGAGATGGAAGTATCCGCTCCAACATCCTCAGCCTCTGCCCCCGGGGCGGAGGACGTGACTGGGGGATTGAGGAGTACCTCAAAGTATTTTTTCCACCGTCCCACAATATCCCCAGTCGAGGTCAGCAGCTCTCCACCCGCACCATACACGGTGTTGGCAAAGAACTGCTTCCCCCTCCTGAGGCGCCGGACGGTTTGCCAGAATCTCTTTGAGGCCGACCGATAGTCATGCTCCATGGACTCTCCGAACTCCTCCCAGTCCCGGGTTTTTGCCTCTGCAACAGCCCGGGCCGCGGCACGCTTGGCCAGCCGATACTGGACAGCTGCCTCAGGAGTCCCCGAACCATCATTGCTGGACTCCTTCTTCAGCCTGACGGCATCCCTTACTGCCGGTGTCCACCACCGGGTTCGGAGGTTACCACCGGGACCAGCACCAGAGACCTTACGACCACAGCTACGAGCAGCCGCATCAGCGATAGAGGAAGAGAAAATGGTCCACTCAGACTCGATATCCCCCTCCTCCGCCGGGACCTGGGAGAAGCTCTCCCGGAGGTGTGAGTTGGAAGTCCGTCTGACAGGGGGCTCAGCGAGACGTTCCCAGCAGACCCTGACTACACGGTCGGGTCTGCCAGGTCTGACCGGCTTCCTCCCCTGCCAGCGGATCCAACTCACAACCAGGTGGTGATC